CACAGTAATCTTTATGTCTCTATAAAGTTTTAAGCTCTATCTTTATAGGAAAACTATGAACCTACACTAATTTAGATCTCCACAGAAATGACTTTATTCAATAGCATTTAAATATTATGCCATCAGTTTTTTTTTTTTTTGAGAGGTTTTTGCTATAGGGTGCATGCACTCGCCAGAGAGACAGAGACAGAGACAGAGAGTGAGAAATCATCCCCTAGGGGGGATGGCCACGCTGCAATCCCTTCTCCTCCATTCTCCTCTCGGGATCTTGGGCATGCACGCACACACGCCCGGCGTGAGTTTAAGCCACCGGGTCCGGGACTTGAACCGCGGTCGACTACGTGGGAGTCCAGCGACATAGCCATTACGCTAACTGCTGGTTCCATCAGTTTTTATAAAGAATATGAAGTATACTTCATATGAATATGAAGTATACTTCTGTACCTTCTCTAACATCACTGAAAATATTTACCATTATGTATTTGGTCAAACCATATAAAATAGTCAATATTCAAATGTTTTTAGCTTTGTAAAAGGACAATATCACAGAGATCACTTAATAGCACAATATTTTTTAATGAGTTATGCAATTTAAGTCATGTTCTAATTTAGCAGTATGAGAAATTTCACTTCACTGGTCAAAGTAAGATGCTCTCTGCCTCCCCTACATGAGAATGACACTGTACAGGATGCTTTCTTCCTGCTTTAGCTGCCAGGAAGCTCAACGCTGAATGAATGCTCAACTGTGATCATTTCCTTAGCGTAGGTGTTGTTATAATTATCTGTATGTTTACACTTGTTCCACTCTTTTCATTTTAATTGACCCAAATGTATGTTTTCTGAAAGCAAACGCGTGCACGCACACACACACACACACACACACACACACAATCTGGTTACCTACACAGCACTGTTGTGCTGAGAAAGACTGGTTGAAATTAGCAGGGTGAAGTACCAAGATCGAGTGGTGCTATTTCATACAGATATTAAAAGGGCACGAGGTAGCAGATCAGCTATTTCCAGCACTATGTCATGTGCTAAAATGCTCAAGGTCTGTACTGATGACGAGACTTTTGAGAATTAATTATAAAAGTCTGCAAGAGATGAGATCTGAAGTGAATTTAGAAATGAGAAAAAGGCATTAGGTGATACAAAGCATTAAAACTTTCTTGCTAGAGGCAGCAAAATATATAGACAATGGAATGCAAAGGGAACAAACGTTACACATATGTGAATATGTGAACACAGATTAGTTAGGTTTAAGGATAGAATTCATAAGTAAAAGAAATGAGAAATGATGCTAGAGGAATGAAAGAAACAATATAGCTTTTGAGCAGGAGAGCAGCATGGGGAAAATGGTTTATTACATGAATCAAATACTTTTTTAAGAAAGAGGCCTAAAATTAGCATATTACCATTGCTACATGTATATTTGATTCAGACAAGATGCTAATAACACTGGGTGACCATGGGGTTCAGATCCTACGGTCAACTTGAAAACATACGTGGTACATGCATCCAGGAGCTAGAGACTGGGAAGAAGGAACTGTGGCATCATGAGATCCTGCAGAGGGTGAGTCTCTCTCATATATGAGCACATGCTAACACACACACACACACACACACACACACACACACTAACCTGTGATCTAACTTAAAATCACCAATATCGGGTTAAACTGCTATCATGTGTCTCTTTATAAGATGCAAGGATTATAAAATATTGATGTAAAAAATATTTTACCAAATCTGACCCTGGGAAAACAGTAAGAGAAATCTAAATTGAGAGACAGTCTTCAAAGTAACTAACTTGAATACTGTATTTATTTATAACTAAAACAGCTGACAATTTTATTTTCATATTTCACAATACAAATGAAAACCACCCTTTTTTGTCTCACTTCTCTCCTTCAAAACTATTCTTATTTTTAATTTTTTTTTTTAATAGAAAGGGGGGAAAAGTCTTCCTTGACATGCTGTAGAAAGACCCAGAGTCACAGCACTATGATCTCCTGGTGAAATAGAACAAGTTCATATAAAACTGACAAAAAGAGGCTTCCCTCCATCCTTATCTGTCTGGCCGAGTCATCCCTGGCCGAGTGGGCACCATCATGGGCCGGGCAGCAGGTCTCATCACTGGGGGCCTGGCATCCTGGGCATGTGGCCTCCCATGGTGGCCTCATTCCAGGAGCAGGTCCTTCTGGCATCATCCCAGGAGGAGGAGGGCCCATCATTGGCTTCATGGGAGGGCCCCTCATATGGGGTGCTGGCATCATGCCAGGGCAAGGAGGACCTGGGAGACTGGGGTGAGGTGGGATCATCACTTCTATAGGAGAAGAAGCAGAGAATGGAGTAGGAGGTATCTTCCCTTGTTGAAATGCAGCTGTTGTTCTATCAATCAGACTTTGAGCCTGCTCTTCCATCCATTTCTGATAGTAGTCTTTCACATTCCCTTTGTTTCCTACCACTACAGTGTGTTTTTCTCACAGATGGAGAATCATGGGTGAGATAAGTATTGAATAGTCACAATAAAACTTAGGTATGTTGCTCTGCAGGCTGTTGGCCACTCTCTAGCCTGAATACTTTAAAAATGTCAATTTCAAAAAAGATAAAAGAAAAACAGAAAGGCTTTATTATATTGGGTTGTTGGAAAAGTCATGACATATTTTTGCATAGAAAAATAGAAAACTACATCATGACTCTTCCAATGACCCAATAGATTATGGGAGACTAAAGAGACCTAACAACCAAATGCAATAAGTTATTCTGTACTGGATCCTGGCCAGAGTAAACAAAAATAGTCATAAAGTACATTATTAGAACAGTTAAGAAATTTGAAAATGGGCTACATTTTAGACCACAGTATGATTGTATGAATTGTTAAAGCTCCCAAATGTGATCCTGAATTGTGATTATATAAGAAAATGCCCTTTTCTTAAAAGTTCTTGTTGAAATATCCAAATATTGGTGACTTTCAAAATGTCCAGCAAATAAAAAGTATATGTTTATGTATGGTGAAAGGAATGTAGGAAACTTGGTAATATAGAAGGAAATGTAGAAAAAACTTGGATGAACCTACATGAAAAGCAAACACTGTACTAACTTACAGTTTTTCTTAGGTCTAGAAATTTAGAGAGAGAGAAAAACAGATCCAACATAATCTAGGTCAAATTCCAATTTACAGATATGCAAACTGAAAGCACCGACATTTTATTTTGACATGTTCATTCAATTAGGATGTACCAAGTAGATAACTAAAGTTCCTATGGCTTTATCTTCTGGTTCAGTGCTCTTTCAATTATCTTATAGTCTCAAGCCTAATCATATAGGATAAATCAGAACAAAGAATGCCTCAAGGTAGGAAACTGAGTACTAGCCAGATATTCTAAACCATCCTAACAGTAATACGGGTCTGCTTAGCATCTAGTTAGGGTCAACTGCAGATATGGAAAGGAGAGACAAAACAAAGAAACAGAACAGAGGAAAGTGTAGTAAAGACAGTGATATATTAGGAGGAGGAAATAAATAGCTGTATAATGTACACACTGAAAAGAGGGGAATATAATAGTACTAGGGGATAATAGAAGAAAAACTGGAATAATATGGACATGTGGGACAACAACTTTAGCTTGAGAGATGTGTATTTCCGAAGTACCATACCAGAATGTAGACTATAAGAATGCTAGAATGTAAAATTCAGGAAGGCAAGTAACTTGAGCAGCCCCCTGGCAATTAACATTTGTTGAACAAATAAAGTATTTATGAGGCATTCAGATATACAGAAAATAGAAATATGAAATTTAAAAAATGTCATGAAGAGATATTTATCTTATAGGTTTTTAGGGAGGGAACTGGGCAGGTTTAAAGTTTCCACCTTCTTCCAGGCCAGTTTGCAAAGAGCTCTACATGGGGTTTGAATATAAATTCAAATTATAAAGCTTCTTTTTTCTTTTTCACTGTTCCTTGTATGTGATCTTTATGGGAAACTTCTATTGAGAGGATGAGTGTTTATAGCCATATATCATTTAGTATCACGATTATTACTAACAAATTTCATTAGCTAGAGTGGGCAGCTCAGGTGGTCTCAGGACAAGCATCATCAATATCACCTGGAAGAATGTCAAAAATGCCAATTCAGAGACCCCAACCTAGACCTACTGTAGGAATTAGCCTAGTTACCTTTGTTTTAGAAAAACTTCCAGTTGATTTTAATGTACACTAAAGAACAAAGAATAAAATAATTTGAAGATTAAACACTTATTTGATAAAGACTTACATATAAGCCACCCTTCTTGAGATGCTGCTAAAAATGTACAAACTTAGCTACATAAACAGTCTTATAATGAAATTTCACACAATACATATCAGATAGTCGTAATCTTTTTTCTTTTCTTTTTTTTTTTTTTGAGAGGTTTTTGCTATAGGGCGCATGCGCTAGCCAGAAAGACAAGAGATAGTGAGAGAGAAAGCGAGAAATAACCCCCTGGGAGGATAGCCATGCTGCAATCCCTTTTCCTCCATTCTCCTCTCAGGATCTTGGGCATGCACACACACGCATCTGGTGTGAGTTTAAGCCACCAGGTCTGGGACTTGAACCATGGTTGATTACATGGGAGTCCAGCGACATAGCCATTACGCTATCTGCTGGTCCCAGTCATAATATTTTATCTAGTGATCATATAGCAAAACGAGCCTACAACAAAAAACATTATTATTTTTTTTTTTGAGAGGGTTTTGCTATAGGGTGTGTGCGCTCATCAGAGAGAGAGAGAGAGACAGAGAAAGCAAGAAATCACCCCCCAGGGGGGATGGCCACGCCACAATCCCTTCTCCTCCATTCTCCTCTCGGGATCTTGGGCACGCACGCACACGTGCCCGGGGTGAGTTTTAAGTCACCAGGTCCGGGACACGAACCGCAGTCGACCATATGGGAGTCCAGTGACATAGCCATTACGCTAACTGCTGGTCCCAAAAAACAATTTTTAAAGACATCTACTTACTTTAATGTTTCGGCAAGAAAGAAGCTCTGCTGTACATCATCATGTGTGGGAGTAGTGGCATATACATCCTTGACCCCAGAAAATCCACCACTGACTCGGCAATACTTTTCAATAGCCTACGAAAAAGATTGAAAATAGTCAATTTTACAGAACTTCAAATTGTTTTTGTAGAAGAAATCAAGGATAACATAAAGTTCACAGAGATAGAAATTTAAGAATACTATATGATCAAATGAAAATATTTTCATACTGGAAAAATTAACTCCTATTAGAAACAAGATATTTTCCACAGTTATAAGAGAAATTTCTCCCTCTTATAGCTATACTGAAAATCCGCTCTTTAAAAGACTATTTACAGTTATTCGGTAAGAACAATGAGTAAATACTAGTAGGAAAGTAGTCCCAGTAGAGAACACAATTGGATACTAATGTTTATTTCTACTGCTTAAACAGACTAATTTAATACAGTTTCTTCATCAAATAAATAAAAATGATCCTATTGTTTCTGAAAATGAAGTAATGGGAACGAGAACATATGGCACTATAGGAGGGCTTGATTTAACATTCTTGCAGCGAAAATAAAATACTAGCATATTTACCAGTGCTGCTTCCCAGCCCCACTCTCTGTAGCGTGGATCATGAGTGAATCGCCACAGGTACCAATAGGTTTCAATTACTTCTGGACGGAGGATGTAATACTTTTCAGCTTGCCGGACAGCCACAGCCTCCACTGCACCATCAAACTTGAATGATTCAGGACCTAGCTTTAATGCTATGATATGACAAAAGACATAAATGAGCAAAATGAATCATTTGTGTTTGTTTGCAAGAACTTTTTTCTCTCCTGAAATAATAGGGGATAATGTAACTTGTTTATTTTCCTTTTATTGATGCTGTTTTGCAAAATAAGTCACTTCACTTTTTCTTTCTTCTTCTTTTCTTTTCTTTTTTTTTTAATGGCCAGAGAGCATGCGTGCTTGTGAGAGAGAGTGAACCCTCAGTGGGACATGATCATACCACAATCCCTTCTACTCTATTTTTTCACCCTGTTGGTATTTTAGGCATGCAAACACACACACACATCCCTACTTGGTGTCCTTCCTTTTCCTTCTTTCTATTTTTTCCCAGAGTTTTTTTTGCTATTAGAGTGCATGCTCTTGTCAGAGATTAAGAGGTAAAAACCAAGAAGTTACCCACCCCCCTACCCAGGGGAGCATGGCCACTCTGCACATTGTCAAATCAGGGGTCTTATGTTTCTTTTTTTTTTTTTTAAATTATGTATTCTATTTTATTTATTCATTCATTTAATTCGACCAGAGAGACGGAGAAGAGGGAAAGTGGGAAAGCACGCTGCCAGACCTGGGTCTTGAACCGTGTCGGCCACGTAGGAATGTCCATCATGTTAACTACCATGCCACCTGCTGGTCCCAGGTTTTATGTTTCTTACGGCATTATTTCTTGGGTGCTCTTTTATTTAGAAATATTGTAAAAAAAAAATTTCTTAACACGCTACCTTACACTTCATTACTATTTCCTATTTTAAACTATTCTACCACATTTCAACATACACACACATACACATACACACACACATATATATGAAAAATATTTTGAAGGTTTTTCACAGGGGGCAAATGCACTTGCTGGAAAAGAAAGAGACAGAGAGGAGGAGGAAAAGTGAGAAATCACCCCTCCTCCAGGGGAATGATCATGGTGCAATCCCTTGTCCTCCATCCCCTCTTGGGATTTTGGGCACATACGCATGCTCTCATGTACCACATGATTTTTAAGCTGCCGGGTCCAGGGCTTAAACCATGGTTGACCATGTGGGAATCTAGCATCTTAACACCACGCCACCTGCTGGACCCATTTCGTATGTTTTTAAAAAGAAAACAACAAACCCAACAAGTAAAATTTTAGTCAAAACAATAAATAACTTAGTGCTTAGGTGTAAGAATTCTAGAGGATAGGTATCAGCAGTTAGCGTAATGGCTATGTCGCTGGACTCCCACGTAGTTGACTGTGGTTCGCATCCTGGACCTGGTGGCTTAAAACTCAAGCCGGGCACGTGTGCGTGCGTGCCCAAGATCCCGAGAGGAGAGTAGAGAAGGGATTGTGGCATGGCCATCACCCCGGGGGGTGATTTCTCACTTTCTGTCTCTCTCTGTCTGTTTGGCGAGCGCATGCACCCTATAGCAAAAACAAAAACAAAAACCTCTCCAAAAAAAAAAAAAGAATTGTAGAGGATACAAAAACCATTAATTAGATTAAGTAAATGAAAGGGGCATGTGCAAATAAAATTGTTATGGCAGAATAACAAATATGATAAAAGTCAGTACTAGATAATAAGAGGAGATATTTAAAGAAGGCACAGATTAGCTAGCTTGGAAAGTCATGGGGAAATGCAATTCACACAAGTCCTCCAAGATAGGCAGAATCTGGAGAAAACAGAAAAGTAAGTACACTCAAGTCAACAGAGAAATTTGACCAAGGAAAAAAGCATAAGAAATATTCTAGGACAAGCATTGTGACTAGAGTTTGAATAGGCTACTAAGTAAGAGGAAACCTTAAGCTACTTTCTGATTTTCTTCCTTAACTGTCTCTAAGAAAAATATATCAATAGTTGAAGATATTCTTCAAATATGTCCAATACTCCCTATCTGTGACAGTTAATTTTAGGTATCAACTTGACTGGACTAAAGAATACCTAGAGAACAGATCAGAGCATTACTCTGGGTGTGTCTGTAAGAGTGTTTCCAAAAGATACTGGCTTAGGAGTTGCTCAATGGGGAAGTTGTCCCCTCAACATGGGCACATACCATCCAATCAGCTAGTGACCTGAATAGAACAAAAAATTTCTTTTTTTTTTTTTTTGAGAGGTTTTCGCTATAGGGTGCGTGCGCTCGCCAGACAGACAGAGACATAGAGTCAGAAAGTGAGAAATCACTCCCCAGGGGGGATGGTCATGCCGCAATCCCTTCTCCTCCATTCTCCTCTCAGGATCTTGGGCACGCATGCACACGTGTCCAGCGTGAGTTTTAAGCCACAGGGTCCGGGACACGAACCGCGTTCGACTACGTGGGAATCCAGTGACATAGCCATTACACTAACTGCTGGTTCCCCTCTCTCTCTCTTCTTGTAGTTAGGATACTTCTTGTTTTGCCCTTGAACATCAGAACTCCAAGATCTCTGGTCTTTGGATTCTAGGACTTATATTAGTTGCACCCTTCCTATTTCCAATAACTGTTCTTAGACCTTCTTGGTGGGGATTCTCAGCACAGTCCCAAAGTGGCATAGGGCATGACATGACAAAAATATCTGGTTCCATGTGTCTGTTCTTCTTATAAAGCTACCAGGTTTCAATCACAGGAGCCTCACCGTGATCATCTCATCCAGTTCCAATCACCTCACAAAGGTCCTTCCTTTCAAGACCAAAATTGGACTAAGTTTCCACCTCTCAACACTGTTTCAATGGCTCACCAGATTTCAGCACATGAATGTTTGTGGAATGCATTCAAATCATGGTACCCCCCTCTCAAATCTACCTTGGTTTGAATGTGTCCCACAAACATTCATATATTGAAATTTGGTGAACCACTGTAACAGATTCAATGATGCACACACACACACACTCACACACAACTCAAGTAAATATTAAAACAGATCATACATGACCAATAGAGAAAATATTAAGATCACACAATTTTGAATTAATAATTCTAATACCAATAAATGGAAGTAAAATTCCAAACCAATCATTACAGTATGAATTTAGCTGAAATAACTACTCAGAATAAGTAGATAATTTTAAACATGGTGGCCAAAACTTGCAGCAAAGCTTTAAGAATACCTAGCAGAAGATATAATAACCTTGTTAAGTTAGCAAAACTAAAACTATTTAGCTGAAGGATCTAAGATAAGATTAAAGACAAGTGAAAAACAGCAAACAACTTGAAAGTACAATACACAAATCACATCCTAATCTTTTGTGGTACACCATGATAAAGAGGGTTATAGGCTCATCAACTCACAATATGAGAATGACAATCAGAACAACAATCAGCAATGCCATTAGAAAATGTGAATGTCAGAAATACAATCTAAGGAAATCCTTTCATAATTTCTGGATTCTTTTTATTTTCTCAAAGGCAGGAGATACATCTTGTTCATACTTTTACCTATAAGCATCCAGCATAATGCCTGGTATATAATGTATGCTCTACATTTAATGCTTAAAGCAATTATGTGGTATCATAATTTTTAGTATTTTTGCTACATGATATTCTGTTGTTTTAGATATTACAGGTATATCTTGTCTTATTGAGCATCACTTCATTATGTTTCCAAGATATTACATTTTTTACAAATTGAAGGTTTTGAAGTAACCCTATGATAAATAAGTCTGTTACTGTCATCTTTCCAATAGCATGAGCTTACTATTTCAAACTTTTTCATTAGCACTAAATCTGTAATAGTGATCTATGATCAGTAATGTCTGATGTTACTGTTTTAACTGTGTTAGGGTACCATTAACTGTGTCATGCAGGATGGTTGAACTTAATAATAAATGTGTTGGACTGGCGATGGCATGACAGAGCAGCTGGATCCACACGGCTGACTTTATGGTTCGAATCTCAGAGCCATTGGTTTGGAAAACAAGCAGGGAGCATGTGCATGCATGACCAGAATCCAGAAAGGAGGGAAAAATGAAGGAAAAGGGATTACACCATGCTTTCTCACTCCCTCCCATCTCCTCTGTCGCTCTCTGGTGAGAACACATGTCCTCTGGCAAATTAAATATTTTTTTAAAATTAGGTTTTTAGCCATAGAGCATGTGTGCTTGCTGGAAAGAGACACAGAGAGAAAGTGTGAAAACGGAGGAAAAGGGACTATGGTGTGGACAGCCACCCAGGGATTATTTTTCACTCTCTCTTTGTCTCTCCCTGGCGGGTTTATGTACCCTATGGCAAAGATCTAAAAAAAGAAGACATGACAAGAAGCCATCTCCATAACACAGAAGTGCAAGGTGAAACAAGTGTTATAAATAAGCTGCAGCAAGTTATCTAAAAGAGCTAGCTAGGATGAAGGTGGCTACACTAAACAACAGATTTTCAATGTACATGAAACAGATTTCTACTTAAAGAAGATTGCACTTTCATAGCTAGAGAGCAGTCAATAATGCATCAAAGGACAGGCTGACTCTTCTTTTTTTGTAATTTTTTTCACTATAGCAAGACAGAGACAGAAAGAAAGAGAAGCAACCTAGACAAGGACTCACACTGTGATCCTCTCCTCCCCCATCTTCCCAGTCAGCCAAGATCATGGGTATGTGCAATTCTGTATTCATCAATCAACTGGGGAACCAAACCTGTGATGTTCCATGCAAATCCAGCTTTACTTCAGCAGCACATTACTGCTGCACTACCATGCTGGCCCAGGCTCTCTTGCTAAAGGATAATACAACCAGTGATTTTAAATGGACGCCATTGCTCATTTACTATTCTCAAAATCCTAGAGCCCTAAAAATATGCTAAATCTACTTTGCCTATACTCTATAAATGGGACAACAAAACCTGGATGACAACATATCCGTTTATAACATTGATTTACTGAATATTTTAAGCCTACTATCAGGACTTATTGCTGAGAAAAAGACTACTTTCAAAACATGACTACTCCTTGACAATGTGCCTGGTTACCTAAGAGCTCTCAAGGAGAGAGAGGTACAGAGAAATGTTTCCATGCCTGCAAACACAGCATCCATTCTACAGT